TCTGATTTTATTATTTGAGCCTTCTCTCTTTTTTTCTTGGTGAGTCTAGCTAAAGGTTTGTCTATTTTGTTTATCTTTTCAAAGAACCAGCTATTAGTTTCATTGATTTTTTTCTTTTGTTTTCCTTTTAGTCTCTATTTCATTTATTTCTGCTCTGATTTTTATTATTTCCTTCCTTCTACTGATTTGGGGCTTTGTTTGTTCTTCTTTTTCCAGTTCCTTTTGGTGTACTATTAGATTGTTTATTTGAGATTTTTCTTGTTTGTTGAGGTAGGCCTGTATTGCTATAAACTTAGAACCACTTTTGCTGTATCTCATAAATTTTGGCATGTTGTATTTTCCTTTTCATTCGTCTGCAGGTCTGTTTTTTTTTTTTTTGACTTCTTTGAGTTCTTTGTTGACCCAATCATTGTTCAATAGCATTTTGTTTAATCTCCACATATTTGTGGCTTTTCCGATTTTCTTCCTATAGTTGATTTCTAGTTTCATACCATTGTGGTCAGAAAAGATGCTTGGTATTATTTCAGTCTTCCTAAATTTATTGAGACTTGATTTGTGGCCTAATATGTGATCTATCTTGGAGAAGGTTCCATGTGCATTTCAAAAGAATGTGTATTCTGTGGTCTTTGGATGGAATGTTCTGTATATATCTACTAAGTCCATCTGCTCTAATGTGTCATTTAAGGCCAATGTTCAACAGGCTTGTTTCTCTCTCCCCACAGCAATCGTTGCTTGAGAAGCAACGGGTCCTCATCCAACAGCATGAAGACGCCAAGGAACTCAAAGAGAACCTGGACCGCCGGGAGCGCATCGTGTTCGACATTCTGGCCAGCTATCTCAGCGAGGAGAGCCTCGCAGACTATGAGCATTTTGTGAAGATGAAGTCAGCCCTCATCATTGAGCAGCGGGAGCTGGAAGATAAAATACACCTGGGTGAAGAGCAGCTGAAGTGCTTGTTTGACAGCCTTCAGCCCGAAAGAGGCAAATAAGAGGGCCCTCCCTGGCGGAGGACAGAAACCGGGCCTTTGAGCTCCGTTCCTGAGGATGCAAGCGAAAACCCCAGCCTGTATTTATGTCCCATAGAGAGAATCCTTCGATAGTGAAATGGCTGGTAGAAAAGCAATAACTTCCATGTGTTTGGGATGATTTATTTAATTTTCTAGTTTCCCTTTTGAATGCCGAGCAGAGTGGCTCACCGTTAGCCGTTTTCCTTTACCGGTAACCACACGTGGCACGCGGCTCTGGTGAATGGCGAGTTTCCACAGTATAGACTGTGAACTCCACTCCCGTAGTGCATGCGAGTGGTCATTTTCAGTGGTAGGTCTGCCCTTCCTCCTGTCTTCACGTGCTTGAACCAACCACTCAGGAAGCAACCAAGTGAGTCTTTTAGGTGCATGAGGGGGAAACCCTGGCTCACGTCTTCTCTTGTGATTCAGCCAAGGCACGGGCTGCCATGTTTTGTTCCTGTTCATCCAACAGTGTTGAGCATTTGTTGTCTCTATCATATAATGATGTTCTCTGACGTAGTAAAAATCATGATGATGATGACGATAATTTATTAACATTTTGGAAAGGTGAATAGTTTCCAAATGGTTAAAAACCAACTGTGAAATGAAGAACCCACGTGTTGGGTTCACTCATTCTAAAATTGCCACTTAAAGAAATAGTGTGCATGCTTTAAAACACTCACACAGAAGGCAAACAGATAGCTTTAGTACTCCTTACCTGATATTACAGGTCAGATGTTTTCCTGCAAAGTGAAATTACTTGGGTAAAAGTGTGTCCAGTAGTAATGTGCTTGCTAGATATTTGTTTCATGAGACCAATAAGATATTTCTTAAATTACTTTTTCCCCATAACGTGTGTTTTGTGTGTGTATGGTCATTAATGATAATTGGCTGCTTTTCTCTTTTTGCCTCTTTGTCTGTTACCATGCCATGAGGGCCACGTTCCATTTACTGTAAGAACCCTTGTTCTGGTTTTTCAGAGGTCCTGTGGACTGTGTAACTCCTAAACTTGGTCTTTTTGTGCCACAGCATTTCTGTGCTCTTTTTACTGGTTGAAATTGCAAGATTCTAAAGAGAGTCTATTTACTAAAAAAACATTGTCATGCTGTCAATTTCCAGTGGACAAGTCACAGACTGGGAGAAAATAATTGCAAATCATATATGTGAAAAGGATTTGTATCCAGAATGTACAAAGAACTCTCAAAACTCAACAGTAAGAAAGTGAACAGCCCAATTAAAACAAGGGCAAAAGATTTAAATAGACACTTCACCAAAGAGGATATATGCATGGCAAATAAGCACATGAAAAGAGATTCAACTGCCAGCTGCTGGGTTATAACTGACTTATTTTTATCTAATCGTTGTAGAGCTGGTGTCTTTCCTCACAAATGCTCATCTCATTAAATGCATGGTTAGTGCACGAGAACCCCTCAGATCACTTCACATCAAGGTAATATTCAGACATTTGTTTGATCTAGGGATCGTTGTAATCTTCATTCCCTCTTATTCCCATATAAGAAGTTTTCCAATGGGTGGGGGATGTCCCTTTGTCAGCCGTGACCGCCGCCTTACCAGAACACACACGCACACACAAATGTCTTAAAGGACAGGTGTCCGCACTGTGTGAGCCAGAGGAGTGAGCTGGACTCCTGAGCCACTGTGTTGATGGCAGTGCCCTCCATGAGGGAGTCCAGACCAGCGGGCTTCAGTGATGCAGGCAATACACGCTCTTTTTGGCAGCCCACCCACGCCAAAAAGATAAATGCCTTTTCCAAAGGTTTTATTGCTATGAAATTAAGCTATTTCTGACTTGAAAAATCCCTGTTCTGCCAATGAAGTGTGTGCCTCCTTTCCACCTGGTCTAGTCACCTGCTTTGAGGACTGGTCGCGTCAGAAAAGATAGAGCTGGCTGTCGACGGACCTCCATCTTTCTCCCTTGGGGAGACAACCCCAGTAATTTCAGTGTACTTTGTTTTTAATTTAGACGATGCTTTTTATCTGTGATTTTTTTTCCCCTCAAATACAGTATTGTGATCATTTTGATGATATGTACGTAAAATGTGAATAATAGAATTTGTGTGTCTGTACCCAGCCTTTTGATGTCTTTCAAGGACTTTCTCTTATCCATAGCAATCTGTAGTGCTCGAGTGTCCTTTTAGCAAAGCACATATAATCACCACTGTCCTGTCCATTCCCCTGTTTGCCTCTTAAATGTCTGGTTAGCGAGGACCCAAAGATTCCAGTGAGTCGATGTACATAACTTTGTATATAGTTATATTATTGCAGATAAAAACAATCTGGTGCTAATGTTTTGCCCTTGGCATCCAGGTGGTGGCTGATTCCTCCCCCTCTGTCATTGCTCAGCTGTGGAATGCTCTGTATAGCGAGATTTCAGTCAGGGGTATTGCCTGTTGCTTTTATCCTGCAGTCCACCATGGGAAATGTATACAGATGTCATGCTCAACGCTGACCACTTACCTCTCAACAGATCATCCTTCTCGACTGTAACAAAATAAATAGTGTCTTTGAGTGAATGGAGCACGTCTTTGATTTACCTACATGACATCTTTTTTTTTTAAATCAGGTATTATCACCATATGTCAGATTCTTAAACCATTGATGAATTGTGGGCTTGATGATATGGATGTATGTGTGTAACTATTTTGCCACTCCAGTTAAGGCCAATCAGTTTGCAGTCAGGAAAAAGTCGGGGACACAGGGTGTATCAGTTAGCTGTTACCACAGTAATGCTGTGTAACAAACCACTATAAGATCTCAGCAGGGTACCGTGAGAAGTATTTCTTTGGCTTATGAATTTGTCCATCAGCAGGCTGTGCTCCATGTGCCTCTCATCTTCCTCCTGGACCAGCAGTCTGGCCTGGGCATGTCAGTGGCAGATGCACAAGAGAACAAGCCTAATCACAAAGGTGCTTTTCACATCTCTGGTCGTGTCATACCTGCTAACCTCCCATTGCCAAAGGGAATCCCATGGCCAAACTCCAAGTCAAAGGATGTAGGGTGTGCTCTACCCCTTCAGTAGAAGGAGCCATAAAGTCACGTGGCAGGGTGTGGACACGGGGACGTGTGAAAAATTGGGGCTGTTGATGGACTCCATCCCCCAAACCGGTGTCTACTAATACGGAGTAGTGCTAAGGCGTCCTGGACCCTGAAGCCAAGCCACGTGTTATTTGCTAGTCATATGGCTGTGAGCAAGCAACTGAGCCTCCCCGAGCCTCAGTTTCCTCTTTTGTAATGGGAGAAGAGCTGAAGTGAGATCAAGTGAGCTAATATGTGTTCCTGTGCTTAGAACGTGGTTCACGCCTGGTTCAGAACAGTGCTGTGTGAGTGATCGCCATGAGTTCTCTCTCCATCATTCTAGTCTGGACCTGGAGGAAATGCCTTCCTTGCCTCAGAACGAATCTGTTGAAACCACCCAAGAGACAGTAATTTCTTTTGGTTGGTAGGATTAGAAATGCTTCTGTTCTGGAGCAGATGGTTTGTGGGACCTGAAGGTTAGACAGTTGAGAGGGAGGGATTCTTTTTAATAAAAATTATTCAAAATTAGAGAATATTTAGAATGGGAAAAATTCACACAAGTTACAGATTTTAAAAAGTGGACAAATACCACACACATTTTATTTTTATTTTTGGCTTCTACCAGGCTACTTCAGCTTGTCTTATTTGAGTTCTGAAATGATCAGGAAACTAATACACAAGGGCAATTCAAGTGCGGTTGCATGCTGCTGCTGGGATGTTGGGCTATGCGATTGTCTGACCCACCGATCCTTGTGCCGCCTTCTGTTACCCAGTGATGACAATGTGCAGGGTTTTGTCCCCGAGCACTTGAGTGCTCAGGCTGATGAACTGCATTGGTGCCACTTTTGTGTGTGCTTCAGTGCGGGCCCATCAGATTTCTTCAGGACAAGCTCTGTTGGGTGCACTTGAGACACAGTCTAGGACATGGGGACCCATCAGACATTTGCGGCATTTTCAGCCCTCTTTGCTGTACTGCCACACATCTGTACCGCACAAGCACAGGCATTCTGAGTGTGCGTTTTTTGCGTTTCCCATTAAAAGAAAACCAGTGCACGGTGTGTTTATTCTTGTATCTGCTGTGTCTTGAGTCACAGCGACCCACATAAACACAGCCCACTAAACCCAAGCTGTGTTATCCCCACTCTGCTACCTCTCAGCCAATCTCCTAAATGCCCGGGGTCGTTCCAGTGCCGCCTGAGACAGGGAGTGAGATGGAAAGGGAGGCAGAGAGGAAGGGATGGTAGACGTCACTGAAGGCAGTGAAAATAGCTTTCTCTGGCAGATTTCCCTAAAGCATAGGACTGTGGGAGCACATTGCTGGATCCTCCCCTAGGACCTTGGAAGCCCGTCCCGTAAGAGACCCTGAGGCTTAAGCTTTATGAGCTCCTACCAAATAGCGTTATCCAACCGAACAAGGGCCATGTCGAGGGGTGTTCCCTGTACAGTTGACCGCACCGGGAGTGAAACGTATGGATGTTACACGTAGGGTGCTCTAAGAACACAACCTCCCAAAGTGAGGGAGATTCCTTACCAAAAAAAACAACAGTTCTCTTAAAAGATGCGAAAGTGATGAAAGATAAACCAGAGGAGCAGTTCAAAGTCAGAGGAAACCAAGGCAACCTGACCACAGACTGCAACGTGTGAGCTTGGATTGAACCCTGGGGCAGAAAATGGACATTAGTTGGAGGATTGGTGAAATTTGAATAAGGTCTGTAAGATCATAGTATCGTGTCGGTGTTAATCTGTTGATTCTGGTCCTTGTACTGTGGTTATGTAAGTTGTTTCCATCTGCTAAGTCTGGTGAAGAATATGTGGACATATTTGTGCTATTTGTAACTTTTTCTAAGTCTGAAATTATTTCAGAATGACAAGTTCATTTTTTTTTGTTTGTTTGTTTTAGAGAAGGTTTTCTTTTCGTCTCATTCAAAGACCCTTTTGTCATATGTTGTCAACTCTAGTGCTTTCGTCGGGTATCTCGAGAGGAGCTTTAAAGTGGAGTTCCAATATTTTATCATCAACAGAAGGATCTGATATAATGTGACCCAGCATTGCAGAACATGGATCATGCTTGCAAGTGTTTTGAACGCCAGTGCCTGTAACCTTTATGGAGTTTGAGCTTCCATAAGACCCTTGTCCACTAAACCTTAAGCCCTCAAGGGTGGGTGCCGTGCTGATTTGTACCACCTGGTACAAGTGGGCGACTAATTTATGCGGGATGATTAGACGAGTGAATAAAGAAAGCGGCGGGGCGCGGTCCAGATCGCTGAGCGGCGTGAGTCTCTTCCCTTTCTTTCCTCCCAGGCTTCGTGTATTGAGCACCCACCAGGTGCCAGGCGGGTGCAGCCACGTGGTGGAATCCTTGCTGCTGGCATCACGCACGGAGGGCTCGGGGTCACGGCTAACTGCTTGTGGGAAAGAAACACGGCGATTGCTTTAACTCCCTCAGTGTTCCGGTCTCGGTTTTGTTTCTCCACCTGTACCCGCTCACCTTCTCCCTTCAGGCTCTGCTGTGCCGGTGTCTGGAGATGGAGTGTTGGGGGTGTCACAGGGAGAGGGCATTGGGGGAAACCCCTAAGGGGAAATACAGGTTTCTTCTTAAGCCTGCCTAGTGTCATTACTCTCGACCCTGAGACGAGAGAGGAGGGAGAACTCACGCCAGGGCGGGAGCTGATGAAGGGTGCTGGTTCTCAAAGGTACCAACCAGGAGCAGCCCCTGGGGTCTAAATGCCAGGAGGCACTCAGAATAGCCTGCTCCAGAGAAAGGCTGGGAGGACAACGCTTTTCCTTTCGCGCTATCCAGTGAGCTGGAAGCCCTGCTATGTGTTCCTCTCATCCGGATTCTCCCAGCATAGTACCGTTTCCAATGAAGCCTGCAATCAAGAACCCTGTTAACTTTTCACTCAGGGTGCCCAAACAGATCTGAGCTTGGATTACCTCCACCCTGTGTTTAAAAACTTAATGCTGGGGTCAGCCTCATGACATAGTGGTAAAGTCTGGTGTGCCTGCTTCAGTGGCCTGGGTTTGTGGCGTTCTGAACCCAGGTGTGGACCTACACCACTCGTCAGCCATGCTGTGGTGGCGAGCCACATACAAAATAGAGGAAGCATGG